TCTTCATTCCTTTATTTATCTGGCTCTCAAATAGACCTCCCGACATCTGCCAGGTGCCATCCTAGCTGCTGGGAAACCCTGATGTACAGCACATCACAGCTGTCTCGAAGCTTAGGATTGAGTTTGGTCATATAGCAAGCATAGAATTATGGTGGTTTGTTATACAGTGGTATAAAATATCTCATTTTATAGCTAAATTTGAAAAGATCTTCATTTAAATTGTATATGAAAAAAATTACACAAAATGCTGAAATTGTTATTTTTGGAGATGCAAGTTTTCTGGATGTATGAGGACTTGACACTGTAGGCCCTCTTATTCTTTTTTAAAATCAAATTTCTGTTTTAAAACAGTTTTAGATTTACTATGAAGCTAGTATAGAGAGTGCCCATAAATCCCACACCATATTACTAACATCTTGCATTAGCATGGTATACTTGCCACAAATAATGAATCAATACAGACATGTTATTATTAACTAAAGTCTATTGTTTATTTAGATTTTTAAAATGTCTATCTGATGTCTTTTTCTGTTCTGGGACCACATCCAGGACACCGCATTGTGTTTAGCTGTCATGTCTGCCCAGGCTCCATCAAGGTGACAATTTCTCAGACTCCCCTTGGTTTGAGTGACCTTGATAGTTTTGACGAATACCGTCAGGTGTATTTTAGCCTGTTTTTTTCATGATTAGATCGAGGTTGTGGGTTTGGGGTAAGCAGACCACAAAGGTGAAGTATATTTTCATCACGTCATATCAAGGGTACATGCTATCTTTTTTTTTAAATTGAGTCTCACTCTGTTGCCCAGGCTGGAGTGCAGTGGCACAATCTCGGTTCACAGCAACCTCTGCCTCCCAGGCTTAAGCGATTCTCCTGCCTCAGCCTCCCAAGTAGCTGGGATTACAGGCATGTGCCACCATACCTGGCTAATTTATTTTTAGTAGAGATGGGGTTTTGCCATGTTGAACAGGCTGGTTTTGAATTCCTAACCTCAAGGAATTCGGCCACCTTGGCCTCCCAAAGTGCTGGGATTACAAGTGTGAGCTACCACGCCTGGCCAAGGGTACGTACTATCAACATGACTTATCAGTGTTGGAGTTAAACTTGATTACCTGGCAGAGGTCGTGTTTGCTGGGTTTTTATACTGTAAAGTTCCTCTGTTTTGCCCTTTTTGTATACTGTATTCTTTGAAAGGAAGGGTATCACTCTGTGCCCATACTGAAGGAGTGGGAAGGCTTTGCGCCCTCTCCTTGAGGGTGGTGTATCAACACAAATTATTTGAAATTCTTCTGCATGGGAGATCTATCTTTTCTCCCACATTTCTTTATTTATTCAACTATGTATTTATGTCAGTATAACTCAGATATTATTTTGTATGTTGGGTTGTAATACAGTATTATTATTTCTTGCTCAACTTGTTTTGGCTCTGACCATTGAGAGCTCTTTTTATTGGCTCCTGGATTCTTTTGATATGCTTTCAAATTACTCTGTGTGTGTGTGTGTGGTTTTCTGGTTTGAACTCTTCCTTGCTTTCTGGCACTACAGGTTCTTTGTGTATGTTTTCTGCCTGAGTCCTAGAATCAGTCATTTCTCCAGTGATTCCTGGTTTCTTTTACCAGAGAGAATAGTATTAGAAATCGAGAGCTGGCACTAGGTATGCTTGTTGCTGCTGGGGTGCTATTGCATCTAGGCCATCTCACCTGGCCCTCAATTTTGATGATAATTTTAAGCATTTGAATACAAATCTTGATAAAATATATTACACAATTTTATGCATTCAAAATGGAATATAATCAACATAATTTAATCTGTTCTTGGAAACTTGGGTGTTTTCTTGAATGCTGGTTATCTGGTTGGGATGCAGTGCTCACCCTTGTCCCCTTAGCACTTTGAAGACTGTTCATACACTGTGACTACACACTGTTGTGCTGTTTGAGTTGTGTTCTTTTTGTGATCGTTCTCATTTTTTTCTTCTTGATATCTTTAGAAACCCCCTCTCCTCCCCTCCAATTTACTGTGCATAATCAACTGTGTTGATTTTAGAGCACTCTAAGGTGCAGTGAAAGGAGCAGGAGCCTTGAAATCAGTAGATCTGAAATGCAGTTGCGCTCTGGCCCACTTGCTCTGTGACTCTGGCAGGTCACTCAGCACCTTTGGCCTTAGTTATCTGATATAAAATGAAATGGTTAGCCTGGATAACTCCCAGGTTTCTCTCCAGCTCTGACGTCCCATGAGCTTTATTAATCTTAGGAGAGTAATGTGATCAGATGGGCAGGAGAGCATGTAATCTCAGTTAAGCTGCCTACAGACTGAGTGACCTTGGGGGAGTCACTCTGAAAGAACCTATCTTGGAGATTCACAAGTGTACATGTGGCCACTTATATAATGAAAGAGACACTACAAATAAAGGGAGGAAGCCTGGATTGTGTGTGGACAATATCAGAACGACTAGATCACAGTATGGTGGGAAAGAAAACTGGATCTCCACATCAGGTCACTAGATGGATTAAATTCCAAAATGAGAAATTAAATTACAAAGGTATAGAAGAAAATTCAGGAGGCTATCTCTGTGATTGGGGGTGGGAAAGGTTTTTAACAGATTTCAAAAACACAAGCTTTAAGACTTAAAAAAAAACAGATGAAATCAATTCCATCAAAATTAGATGTATGCCAGCAGTGTAGATGGATCTGAAATAGGAGAACAGGAAGAAATAAGATACGATATGTAGCAATATCATTTGCAAAATAAAATCACATTCACATGAACCAGCAATGTATATTTTGCTAGAACATGTGCACATAAAAGGATAGACTTTAAGAGGTCTATGGAGGGGAGGCGGGGTGGAAGTGGAATCAATCAAAGTGAATCTAGGCCGGGTGTGGTGGCTCATGCCTGTAATCCCAGCACTTTGGAAGGCCAAGGCAGGTGGATCACCTGAGGTCAGGAGTTTGAGAGTAGCCTGGCCAATATGGTGAAACCCCATCTCTACTAAAAGAACAAAAATTAGCTGGACGTGGTGGTAGGCACCTGTAATCCCAGCTATCTGGGAGGCTGAGGCAGGCGAATTGCTTGAACTCGGGAGGTAGAGGTTGCAGTGAGCTGAGATCACACCATTGCACTCCAGCCTGGGCAAGAAGAGCAAAACTTTATTGAAAAAAAAAAAAAACTGAATCTACACCTAAATAAACAAATGCAACCAGATAAGGACCTTGCATGGCTGTCTGTTGTTCATGTGAGAGAGATATATACATACTTGAACATGCATATATTTTTTACTATACGTTGCATAAATGTTGCCCTCCCTAGACTGTGAGCTCCCTGAGGACAGGAACTAGCACTCAGCACATAACAGGCATTTATATTGGAGGAATGAATGAATGAAAGTATACAGGCTTCCTCTGCCATAGGTGCTTTCCTGGGATTCTATGGCAGACAACTCACAGAAACTTTAAAAAAATGTGGTCCTGGAATATTCCTTAGAAATTATCAGGCTCAATGGTGACCTGACCTCTGAATTTCATAAATGGAGTTAAGAACAGGTGGATGGACTGAAAAAAAAAAAACATGTTGCATACTCCAGGTCAGACCACCCACCTTTTTCTAAAGCCATGTGTGGGCTAAAAAACCCAGTATTATTTTTCACAAAAGAAAGGGCTTGTAAACATCATTAGGTAAGAAAAATATCAAGTACTATGAGGATTAAAAGAACTATTAAGATAGATTGAGGATATCAGAACAGGATTCTGAAAGGAGCCAATAGTTGAAGTAGCCCTTGAATGGTGATTTTTTCAATAAATTTTAAAGAGTAGCACATTCAACAAAATAGCTTAATAAAAAAGTCATAACATTCTTCCCATTTTTCTCACTTCTCCATGGGAACCTCATTGCAACATGGCTCGTTATCATGAGCAGATGAGCTGGTCCAACTTCAGAGAGTTAGTGTCTTAGCTTGTTCTGATAGATCTAGAGCTGCCATCCTAGTTTCTGACTCACAGGGAATCTTTCTGCAACCCAACACACTAAGTTCTTCTGAAGGAAGCTCCCAAGATTCTACTAAGTCCTGGTGGAAAATTCCCTCTTGTTTTGGCCAGCTCGGGGTCAGCTGGCAGGTATTTAAAGAGAAAATTTCTTCTGATCTATTGAAGGGCAAAAGGTGCTTTGAACTCAGACTAGAGAGGAACTTGAGTTCATCATGTCTGTATCCCAGACCTGTTGCTATAGCACCTGAAATAAATGAGTCACGGGAAACACGGCAGGGTCCAGGAACAGCCATATGTGCAAATTGGCAGTTGGCTTCATAGCCAGCCAAAAATGATAAGCTTCCTTTCGGCCATAAACCTGACCCAGCTGTGGGTGTGAGCAAACCTGTGTAAAAGGAGAGAGAAGGTTTATTTCCTTCTGGCATCTAGTTCATTTGAACCTGGAACTTTCTCAAACTGTCCTTATTTGAGAAATGCAAGGCACCAGAAACCCAGTAAGTAACAAAATACCATACATCAGCCATCTAAAACGACAGACCTCAGAAAGAGAGAGAGCATCCATTCTGCCGCAAGAAAAGCAATAGAGAAGTGTGTATAATTTATAACATGCACCAATCCTGGGTCCTCTGAAAGCATTTGATATAGATAAACAGATAGTGGAGGCCATTCCTTCAGCTCCTTTGATTCACTATTGTTTTTTTCTTTTTGAGACGGCATTTCACTCTTATTGCCCAGACTGGAGTGCAATGGCATGATCTCAGCTCACTGCAACCTTTGCCTCCCAGGTTCAAGTGATTCTCCTGCCTCAACCTCCCAAGTAGCTGGAATTAAAAAGACATGCGCTACCATGCCTAGCTAATTTTGTATTTTTAGTAGAGACACGGTTTCACCGTATTGATGAGGCTGGTCTCAAACTCCTGACCTTAGGTAATCTGCCTGCCTCAGCATCCCAAAAGTGCTGGGAGGTGAGCCACCGCACCGGGCCTTGATTCACTTTTTTATTTTTTTTTTTTTCACATTATTGCAAAAACGAATTTTAATTTTTAATCTTTAGTTTGATTTAAACATTGCTTTTAGTATGATGCTGACACCAGCTGTGCAGAAAGGGCTCTGAAGAGATGTTCATAGCAGCACACACCTGTGGCTCTTCTTCGGTTCTGGAGGCTCCAGGGCAGCCAATATTGCTTCGTCAAATACATTCTTTAGGCCTTTCTGTGTGAGTGCAGAACACTCCACATACTTGACAGCCTTCAGGTCACGGGCCAGCTTTTCAGCAGTCTCTGGAGTGATAGGCTTCTGTTTGTTCTTGGCAAGTTTCTCAATAGTAGAGGAGTCATCTCTGAGATCAATTTGGGTCCCAACAAGCAAAAAAGGAGTCTTTGGACAGTGGTGAGTTATCTCAGGCACCCACTTTTCTTTCACATTTTCAAATGAAGATGGAGAAACCACTGAAAAACAGACTAGAAATACATCTGTTTGTGGATAACTCAGCGGTCGTAATCTGTCATAATCCTCTTGCCCTGCAGTATCAAAAAGTCCAAGAGTATATGGTTCTCCACCAATCATAACTGTGACTGCATAGTTGTCAAAAACAGTCGGTACATATTCTGATGGAAATTTGTTTGTTGTGTAGGATATCAGGAGACATGTTTTACCAACAGCACCATCGCCCACAACAACACACTTAATTGTCTGCATTGCTGAAATAGTTTTGTATCCACTTTAAATATTTCAAATCTGATGTTAACCTCAGCTTCTCCACCGGGGCGTTGGCAGCACTGTGCGGGATCTCCTCCGATTCACTTTTGAATATACCAGTTCATCCATAATTAAGAAGGGTAAAGACACCAAATAGATTTGTAGGTATTGTTCATGTTTCTGACATATTCCAGAATTGAATATACCAGTTCATCCATAATTAAGAAGGGTAAACACACCAAATAGATTTGTAGGTATTGTTCATGTTTCTGACATATTCTGATGGAGCCTAAGAAAGCCACAGCAGCAAAGTTGGTGGCTCAGTGGCTGTTACTTATGATAACAGCTACCCTGGTCACAGCTGTGAAAAGTAAGGTAGCTAACAGTTTCGGGTTAATGAAAATTCTAGTAGGACTAACCGAAACTTTTATAAAGAAACACCAAGAACTCAGAAGGAGACATAGGCAGGCAGTGCATATGTGTGTATACGTTCCTACACACACTCACGAGCAGCCTCCCGACCACAGAAACTGCATGGATAGAGACAAAGGGGAAGGGGAATGTAAAACTCAGAAGCAGTAATGTGATTTTCATATTGCACTATTCAGATTAGCTGCTTATATTTGTGATTCCCTGCTGTATACTTAGAATTTTTAAAGGAAGAATATATGTTTCCCATATAAAAGCTTTTGTATATTCAAAGAATGAATATAGGGAAGATACAATAGTGAAGGTAAACAACATCTTTAGTAAGGAATTTATTTGCAGAAAGGCAGAGGGGATGTTGTAGTGAAGAAGGGACCCAAGACAATACAGATGTAGAGCCCTGAGTTCCTAAACCCTCAGAGAGCCACTTCTCCCACCCCCATCTTGGAGTTCTGAAGGCTAAAGATAAGCTACTATAACCAAATGACCTTCTTGTTTCCACATTCCTGTCCCTTCAATTCACTGCCAAATTAATTCTCCTAAATACAGTTCAGATATATGACCTTTTCGCTCAGAATTCTTCTATAGCTTGCCTTTGTCCACTGAATAAAATATAGATATGTTAGTTGAGATGTCAATCTTGACTCCCTGATATTGATATTTTGATTCTCATTTCCTTCTCTCTCTCTATCCATCCATCTCCACACTTTAGCTCAATGACCTGCTCTCCATTGCCTAGAAGGGTCTGATGTTTCTCCCTTTTCTTTGCTCCTTCTCTTCCTTCCTGATCAATGCCCCCCTCCCTTGAGCTCCAGCTTTGTTGCTGAATTCTTGTCCATCTCTCTTTCCTATTTCAACTACCACCTTCTACATGAAGCCTCATCTAATACCCTTGATCTGTCCTCATGGATCTTTTAATTCTTATAGCAATTTATATTTATTGTATGACATTGATTACACATCCCCTTGCATTATATGCAAGATAACTTTATATATTATCTTTTCTGCTAAGTTGAAAACTCTTTGACTGGGCTTTTCATATTTGTTTTTCTTTTCTTCCTGCTTTCACTTTTTTTAAAATTGTGAAAAGTAGCATATAATTATAAAAGTGCGCACAACCAAAATATACTACTTAATAAATTATTATAAAGAGAGTAGCAAATAATTAGCACCAGGTCAAGAAATAAAACATCGATAATATCTTAGCAGTCCCCATCACTTGTCCCCATGGGCCCCTTCAACTGCCTTCCACCATATTCACTTGCTTCTCTTTCTTAGCACCTGCCACAGAGGTTCAGGCTTAGCAAGTGTCAGGAAATGCTTGAAAGATAAAGGAATAGTTGGTGAGCGAGGTACAACCTCAGGGAGCATCAGATGAATTCATTATTATCGTCACTGGAAAAGGGCCTAAACTAATTTCCCTACCTAACAGCAGGTCAGAAGTCGCTTTCATGTATACAAGATGCATTTTCTTCCAGGGTAAAGAATACCTGGGGCCATGGAATCAAAGTCTTAACCAAGGAAAGGCCTTGCTGTGCTGAGTTGTATTTTAAGCTGTTGGGAAGTTAGAAATAGTGACCCTCTTTAGGGGTTCTTACAGGGACCTAACAAAACCATGCAGGCGCCTGATTCGTGGGATCCAGGAGAAAGTTCAGGTTGTAACCCACCTCTTAGTAAAGTCAAGATCCTGAAGTTGAATCTGATTTTCCAGATTTCTTGGAAGTCCCAGTTGGGAGAGTATCTGGAGCAATCCAAGCGTAATAGAACCAGGGAAGATAACAGCATCTCATGCCATCTTGTTGCTGTGACCAGTCACCTTCTCAATATTTATGTTTTATTTTTATCTCTGTATTAGAGAGGCATTATTTGTGCACAGGCTGTTAAAAAAAGTTCTGAGGGAAACACGCTTCCAGCTGCTTCCTCCTGTTTTCCATCTGCTGCATTTATGCGTCTTTGTATGCATTTAACTGTTGCTTGTTGGTGTAATTGGGATTTTCTGAGGACAGGGAAAAAAAATTCCCTAAGGGGGGGTTGCGAGTTCAATTGATCTGAAAGAGATTATCTTGGTTAGTCACTAATAAACATTAAACTTTGAATTGCAGCAGTAACATAAGCACCAAGTAGCTTCAAGTTTTAAGAGTTAACTTGCCTCAGTTATATCTTTGTATTCCTATATTTATGCATCAGCTACGCTTTCTCCCATTTAATCTTAAATATGTAAATCCTCAATTTATCTGGAATTACTTAGTGAAAGGCTGATGTGTGAGTGTGGCAGATTATAATATTCCATCGCCACCCCTGATCCTCTTTACCTCTTATTCTTTTCATAGCAGATCAAAAAAGCTGTGTGCGTGCCACAAGAATATATTATTTTAAGAGACTTGGACTTAGAAATTGATTTCCTTGATGAGAAAAAGAAAAGTCTCCTTCTGACCCAGAGGGTCACTTTATAATCCTGTCACTCGACATCAAAAAAGCCTTTTTTTTTCTTTTAAGAGAAGATGAGAATATTTCTGAAAAGGAATTAATTTTTCAGCTCCAGTAAAAACAGTGACTTGCAGACTTAGACATTGCGAGAGGAACGGTCCTATTCAGAACACATCTCCTGTGATTAGCACAAGCTTCTGATATATTTTAGGGTCAGGCAGTTTTAGATGGAGATTGGGATTTTGTACCATGGGACGAAACTGATATTTTATTGATGATTTTAAGGCTTAAGCTTGAGTCTCTGCCTCTTTCTTTCTCTTTTGTAAAGGGATTTTACTGCTTTCAAATATATAATGACAGTTTATGGAAGCAGTCTATCTTCCTTGTGTGTGGATTTAAATTAATAGGCTATTAAACAGCACGTGATTTTTATCACCATCCGATGATAGTTCAACTCACAACAGTTTTTGGTGCATTGCAGGGGACACTTGTACCTGTGCCCGAATTACCTGTCCAACTAGAGCAGTGGTTCTTTTTTTTTTTTGAGACAGTTTCGCTCTGTCACCCAGGCTGAAGTGCAGTAGTGTGATTCCCGGCTCACTGCAATCTCTGCCTCCCAAGTTCAAGTGATTTTCCTGCCTCAGCCTCCCAAGTGGTTCGGACTACAGGTGTGTGCCACTACGCCTGGCTGATTCTTTTGTATTTTTAGTAGGGACAGTATTTTACCATGTTGGCCAGGCTGTTCTTGAATTCTTGACCTCAGATGATCTGCCCACCTCAGCCTTCCAAAGTGCTGGGATTACAGGCGTGAGCCACCTCGCCTGGCCTAGAGCGGCGGTTCTTAATCCTACTACACATTTAAACCACCTGGAGAGTTTCACGAACTACTGATGGCTGCGCCATGCTTCTGGAAATTTTGATTCTGTTGATCTGGGGCCTAGGCCTCAAGGGCATTTAGAAGCTTCAAAAAGTGATTCTAATGACCAAATAGGGTTGAGTACTACTAAACTAAATTCTGAAACCAGATGGCATTCTAGTATTAGGAAGTATCTGCTACAAAGCTCTGACGTTTGCATTTCTAGAGTCCCTTCTTCAACTTACTTACATAAAGGTATTTTTAAAATTAATTTTTAAAAATATTTATAATTGACAGGTACAAAGTTACAGTTAGACAAGAAGTTCGGATGTTCTGTTACACAGTAGGATGATTATAGCAAATAATGTAGTGAATATTCTAAGATAGCCAAAAGAAAAGATTTTAAATAGCATTACCACAAAGAAATGATAATTATTTAAAGTGATGGATAAGTAATTATTTTAATTTGATCATAAAGGTACTTTTGATGAAAGATTTCTAATCTCTTTATTAATATGAAATCTCAGAGCATCTATTTGAATTGCCCAAATTAATATTGGAGTGTGTTTTACTGATGGATAAAATGAGGTTAAAAATCTTCTCAATTTAGGAAACATGTCTATTTGTATGTATATTACACGTACATTTATACACACTAACATAAAAAAGTAATATGTGATGAGGTATTAACGAAATAGTAGAATTTAAGGTTCTTGCCAGGCCTTCAAGCCCTATCCAAAATTATCTCTGCCACAGAGGCCAAAACTTCCACCATTAGTGATTCATTTCTTAATGTTAAGCTTGTTACCCCAGTTGTTATCTTTAAAAATCACTTAATTCCTGAGGAGCCTGGTGCCCTAGTGGGAAAAGGCATGGCAGGTCTTTCTTGGCACAGGGTTGTGGAGAAAGGCATGGCTGGGGCCAGCCTCACAGGCATGTGACCTTGCCATGGTTAGAAGGGCTCTGTACTTTAATATTCTGCTGCCATGATGTTGAAATTTTTAATAATATTTTAACAAGAGTCCTGCTGATTCTGGGTGTGGCCTCCAAAGATAAATTGTTCGTTGCTCTTTTTTTTTTTTTTTTTTTTTGAGACAGTTTTGTTCTGTCACCAGGCTGCAGTGCAGTGGTACAATCTTGGCTCACTGCAACCTCTGCCTCCTGGGTTCAAACAATTCTTCTGCCTCAGCCTCCAAGTTAGCTGGGACTATAGGCGTGTGACACCACGGCCAGCTAATTTTTATATTTTAGTAGAGACGGGGTTTCACCATGTTGGCCAGGATGGTCTTGATCTCTTGACCTTGTGATCTGCCTGCCTTGGCCTCCCAAAGTGCTGGGATTACAGGCGTGAGCCACTGTGCCCAGCCTCAGCTATATTTTTAGCAGAGACA